TGCTTACTTTAGGTTCGCTTCACTTCTGATGGACATGATGTCTGCCATATATATTTCTGTTTTGATTCAATGAAAAATAAATGAAGAACAGTATAAAATATCATACTACTTTTTCGGAAATAATGAGCAGATGCAGCGCTTGAAATGAATTATTGCAAAGATTTGACACTTTTTATTAAAACGTAGTAGTAAACTTGGTCTATCCTTTTTCATTCAAACACACTGACTTTTCCTCAGAAAACTCAGGATGGCGACCGCAAAGTTGAAAAATTGTCTAATGAAATGGACGGCCTTCAAATTTTATCAGGGACCGACCTGATAGTAGATATCGGAGACCATTAATAAAAATATATTCAGCGACACTGTACAGGACGCCTTCGGTTTTAATGACTGTCATAGAGATGGAATGTACATTGCGATGCTGCAGGAAAATGCTCCTGTTTATTGCTCTAAGAAGCTATGTTGTTGCTTTAGCTTTTGACGATAATCCAAATTTTAAGATATAGTATGTCTCTTGGTCAGCGGGCTGTAAACCATTTAATTTCCGCTTAGAGCTCACACATCCATCCTATAGAACATATGTTTGCAGTTATTCATTGGAAATTGGGAATAGATCAGAAAAATTGATCAACGCAGGAAAGCTTGATTTTATATTCAATTATTTCATGAATTATTTAACCATGGAGCTGGTTAGTTTTCTATCAGACCGATTTACAGCCGTGTTACACGCAAAAAGAGAGCCAACAAAGGACTATTACAGGGTGTCTCTATAAACTGCTAGCTTCTAATACTGTAGCTGGATAGCAGAGATCCCTTTTGGACGCCTACAGAAAGATTCCATAGGAGACCGTCTGGAATCTTATAAATTCGATACCAAGTAGGGTGGAGGTTCTCCTAAAGGCCAAATGAAAATTTGCTGTAACGTATATTTTGAAATATGTATTCCCTGTAAACAGTGAATGTATTGTTAGGGTGCAAAGAATTTCGGGATATCGCTTCATTATTTTCATTGCGCAATATTGTAGATGCTCTATAATTTCCCTCACGGTTATACTTGTAGATATAAGTATATTATTGAAATCTGCCAAACGTCTAAGTATTATGGTTAGCCTAGTAGCTGATCCGGTGGATCCTAGATGATTGCTTAGGAAATCCTGCCTGGGCATGTAGCTCACTGTTTCCGTAAAGGTGGATTTCATACGAGCAGTTAAGTTAGGTGAGCAAATGGAGCAAAGTATGATTAAATTCACGGATCACGGTGAGCCTCGTAGCTTAATGGTAGAGCGTTGGTTGCGCAAAAGCCTTCTCTGTGGTGTGGGTTCGACTCCCATTCAGACCGCGAATTTTTCACAATTGGGTCAAATGAAAAAATATGCGCAGCTTTTTGTAAGTTCTCTTTCGGTGTATGGTTTTCTATGAAATGAAATGTTTTTAGTTAGATTGCAGCAACTGATAAACCAAACTATGATGTCCTATGCAAAATAGCCTCTTTTCTGCAGCAATTTATTTGTTGAAAATGCGCGATGCATCATCTGTGAGTTTTAGCGGGTCTTTCTTGACGCTCGTGGCAGTTCATCTGCTAATTCACGAACCCTTTTTACAGGAATAATTAACCTATTGCCAAGAAAAATGCTTATTGAATGGCTTACACTTCTCTATTTCACAAATTACAGGAGAAATTTCATGAAATTCTCATAGTTTTTTATAATCCACATACAGCTAGTATAAATTTATTTTCTATGACACTATTGTTTAAGGTTTTGATTTAATGGTAAAACAGGAAATCGTGGGAAAGGACCATTCGTGCCTAAGGCACAGCTCGATTGACCCAGCGAACTCTATTTTGCCTCATAAAAATAAGGTCAGTCACCGTCTTCTTAATGGTCAATGAATACAACATGTTATTATTGGAGCGAGGGAGGTTGAGATGAGCAGTAGCGGCTAGTGTTGGCTGGCATTAAAGATTCATGAGACAAACTTTAAAACATTCAAAGTATCTGTGGGTTTACCTCAAAAGGCTGTGCAAGTAATTTAATTTTTTGACAGTTTTTGCACTGATAGGCGAAATTTAATGGGAAGGTTCATAGGCATTAGTAAATAATTAATTGGGAGGAACATTTACCGCGTGTTCAATCAAATTTTTACTTGATTTTCTGAAGTATATGTTTTAACTTTTAGCATAAATAACAACCAACATTACTTTTTAACTACCTACTGAGTGCCCTATCATAAAATGTCGAGTAAGGTCTTAAAATATATTTTTCACTTGATCACAGAAATCTAATTTCTAGACAGTACCATGGGAGCTAGTTTTGACCTTCGACTAAGCTGATAGGTAAGGCCTATTCAATTCACCTGAGAAAATGAGACAAAAAGCGATGGGTCTTTATTTGCGGCTGATGGGCGCCTTTGCAAAGATGAATATAGGCTTATGACTTCAAATTTTCGAACTCAACCAACTATGAGAAAATGTATCGATAGTAAATAAGATCTCATTCTCAGACTTTGCCCAGTTGACATACCTTACT